GGGGGGGGGGTGTCAGGATCAACCTCTGGCTCCTGAGCCAGTTTACAAGCACTTTAATCAGCTCAGCTATTTGGCTGGTCCTTATCTCACTCATATATTAACTGTATGGTACTTAAGCTTCTGGTTTACACTCTTGGAACCAAAGATGAAGGAATATTATGGTATTTAGATTAGCTGGTATTGAGGGGTTACAATAGTCGTTGGATAACTGGCATCTTAAATGCAAGTAAACAAACCTTTATGATTAAATTACTGGATAAGTAAACAGTAAGATAAGACTATAGTTTAGATGTGTTCTTGGATGAGTTCTGTCAGATAACTTATAATACAAAAACATTTTTTAAACCAAATGTCCACTATCAGGGTACACTCAATTAGGGGCTGGTTCATAGGGACAGGATAGTCTTCCTGTAGTTTCAGTGCAGACAGCATTGAATCTAATACCAGGCTGCTGCTGGTGGGAATAAGATATCTCCCAGCCAACTCCAAACATAAGAAAATGTAAAGATGTAGGGCCAGGGATATAGCTCAGCGCTGGCACAAGTGCCTGCCTGGCAAGTACAAGATCTCGAGTTTGATTTCTGGTACAAAAACATAAAAGACATAGGGCAAAGCAGAGTTTATGGGACATTATGCTTACCTCCTTAAGACAACAGTTTAGAGGACTTCTCTTTTTTGAAATCTATTTCAGAAAGTATTACAATTTTTTGGAAGGGCTTTCACTTTTATAGTTTTACAGTTCTTTTAAAAAATTTTTTTCCAGGGGTATCCTTATACACAAATACAGGAAAAATGAAAAAACATAAGCGAATACCTTAATCTAGCAGAATACTTCAATATGAGAAATCATATTACACTATTTTTTTGAAAGTAGATTATAAAGCTAGTACTTTAGGATTTGTTTTCTATCTAAAAAGATGTATGTTTAAGGGATCAGGGATTCAAACATGGTTCTGAATGCCATGCCAACCCTGCCCCCAGGGTGCACTAAACTAGTGAACTGAGTGTAGGCGTGGTGGCACAAGCCTATAATCCCAGTGCTGGGGAGGCTGAAAACAGGAGGATCACTATGATGAGTCCAAGCTCTGTAGTGAGACCCTGTACCAAATACATAAAATGGAAAAAAAAAAAAAAAAAGAAGTCCAAAAACAAACAATCGAAAACCAGTTCTCAAAAACAATTAGAAAGCCAAGCGTGATGATACATGCCTATAATCCCAGCACTCAAGAGGCTGAGGCAGGAGGACTACCATGAGTGTGGGGCCTACCTGGGCTACACAGTGAATTTAAAATCAGCCTGATCAATCAATCCTCAGTACCAGGAAAAATGTGCTTGCTTCGGCAGCACATATACCCAATACCAGGAAAAACAGAAATGACCAGCCTGAACTCCATAACAAGACAAGATCCCACCTCAAAACAAAAGGGGGAGAGGGCGAAGAGCTGTTTCTTACCTAAATTATTCTCCAAGACAGCCTTTTCTCCTTCCAATTTTGTTTTGCCATATAAATTTAGGGGGGCTGGTATGTCTTCCTCTCTATAAGGTGGATTTGTTCCATCAAACACATAATCTGAGCTAATGTAGATAAGAAATGCTCCAACTGCAGCTGCTTCCTTTGCTAAATTCCCAGAAGCATCCACATTAAGCTGAGAAGCAGCATCTGGCTGATTCTCTACAACATCCGGTCTTCTCTCTGCTGCACAATGTACTATGACATGGGGCTGAAAATCATGAATGATGTGATGAACTGCTTCAGTGGATTTGTTCCATCAAACACATAATCTGAGCTAATATAGATAAGAAATGCTCCAACTGCAGCTGCTTCCTTTGCTAAATTCCCAGAAGCATCCACATTAAGCTGAGAAGCAGCATCTGGCTGATTCTCTACAACATCCGGTCTTCTCTCTGCTGCACAATGTACTATGACATGGGGCTGGAAGTTAAACATTGATGTATTCTTAACCCAAAACATAATAAAACAGAGGAACCACAGCTTTCCTAAATTAAGTCAAATAAAAAGTTCCTTAAATCAACATTCTTTCTACTAAGAATACTCCATATCCAGAACTGAACCCAGAGTCTTTGCGCACAGCGAAGCTGCCTGGGCTGGCCTTGAACTTGCAATCCTGCCTCAGCATCTCAAGCAGCTGAGATTATAGGCATTACAGGCAGGCACCATTTTGTATAGCTGTAATTTTTAGTATAATTCTATCAGCTTTCCTTCCCCATCAAGGTTCAAAGTTCTCGAAAATACATATGTAAGTCCTAAAGATGAAAAAGTAATTTAATATTCCTAGAAAAAAAAAAATCAGAAGGGGAGAAATCACTATTTCTGTTCAAAAGAAGTTTCATTTCCCAATCTATATAGCACAGAGTGGTCACTTACAGAATCTGGGTGTGGTAGCACACCATATAAAAGCCCAGGACTCCAGGAGGCTAAGCTAAGAAGGTTGCAGGTTCAAACCCAATTCTAGCAGTTTGGCAAAAGTTGCACAGAAAATATGAGCTAGAAAACAATCTACAAACCAAAGGGTTCTTGTTGTTTTTAATTTGAGACAGTCTTGTTACACAGTTCAGGCTGACCTTGAAGTCACTATGAAACACAGATTGGCCTCAAACTTGCAGCAATCCTATCTCAGCCTTCTGAGCAACAGGATCACGACAGGTGTGTGCCACCACACCCCATCCATAAACCAGGTTTTTTTTTGTTTTTTGTATTTTTAGGGAAGGGTCTACAGGGTGATCAGGGTCTCACTACTAGATCAGATGTAGTGATCCACCTGATTTTAGCCTTCAAAGTGCTGGGATTACAGGTGCAGTCTCAATTGCCATCTCAGCACGCTCCAGGGGCAGGGCCCCGAAAGGTTGGCCTGGGGATTGAACCCCGTCCCTGCGCCTGCTTGCAGGCGCTTTAATCTGCTGAGCTATTTGTCTGGCCCCATAAACCAGTTTTTTTTATAAAATGCTCCATGTTACTCTGTCAACCAATATCACAAGCTAATGTTTGTAAGGAGTACTTATACCCTGCCAGTCTAAAAGAAATGCATTACATACTGTTTCTGCTCAATGTCAGAACTTTAAAGTGCAGTGACTTCTTTTGGGAGTAAGCTTCGTTTTTAAAAACACATCCATTTTTTAGGATAATTCATGCATACATTAAAATAGAGCATAAAAAAATTAAATAATAAAATTAAATAAATTGTGCTGGTGCTGCCCCGCCCCTAGGGCAGGCACCCTGAGATAGGGATTGAAACATGGTGGCACATGCCTGTAATACTAGTGCTCAAGGGTCTGCAAACAGCAGAATCACAAGTCCGATCTATGAAACAAGACCCCGTAGACCCTGTACTAAAATACATTAAGATAATAATAATAAATAAACATACCTGAAAATCATGAATGATGTGATGAACTGCTTCAGAATCCAACAGATTAACCTGTTCAAACTTTGGCCTTGCTCTTCTAAAACCACAACCAATCG